TTGGAAGGTGGGACCCTGTCCCTTTCATCACATTAAAAAGTTTGGTCTTTTCTTTATTTTCTTTTGAGATAATTGCAAAAAGGCCCTTCATAAATCACAATACATCATTTTGACCCCTCCAACAAATAATCTAAAAAAAGTGTATTCTTTCATTGCTATAATCAGTGGCGGATCCATGAAGTTAATGGGGTAGAGGCCCGTTGGATGGGACTTGGAGGAGGAAAGCATATGGTCGTATGAGACTGGGGGATACCATGTAAGATAAGGGTGCAAATAGAAAATTTAAACTAGTCAACAAAGATTTTTGGTTTTTGACTTAGAGTCTTTCCCCCCAGTGCTTAAAGGTTGGATCCGCTCCTGGCTATAATGACACACTTTTGCATGTTTGTATCCCTTCATTGCTTTTATTCATCAAACTGTAACACATTTTTTAGAGGCGTAAGTTAAAAGATCTTATGAAACTGACTAATACCTATATGAAAATTAGACTTTGGTGATAGTAAAAACGATTTGGTTGATCTCGATGACGTCAAGAAAAGACGTTACTGTATCGTTTTGTAACGTTTTTTAGTGTAAATATTTCATATCATCAAAAATCAAACATTTTCTTGCAAACTTTCGATTTTGTGTTTCTTGGTTCATGATATTCTTGTATTTCGTCATATTCTTAAAGGGTATTCAACGAATAGTCAAAACTTCATTCAGATATTATTAAACCAATAGCATAAGATTAGGTAAGTGTTTGTATTTCCGTTATGCAACAACATAAAACAATTCAATGTATTATGTAACATATTTATCAGATTAAATGAATTCAATTAGGCATTAAAGTACTCCCTAAATGATTAAAGTTGTTTATAAAGATGCATCTTTCTAGAAACTGAAAAACATACAAGAATCAGTATTATCAACATAGATATGTCAAATCAACAGTTTACATTCATAGGAGCAGATTCGCATAGCGATGACATGGTGCATGTGCATTAACTCTGTCGTCTCGATGGCATGGAAATCTTATTATGGTCCTTAAAGATACATCTCTTACGTTTGAGAGGTGCGCGAGGTAAATTTGAATAAAATGTGTGCTCTGTAAGTAGAGGGGATTAAGGGGCCATTTACCTAAATGCTTACCCGATAAATGTTTACTATTAGGAGTCAACACTGTAATTTATTTTACCGGATAAGATTGTAGTACATCAAAATGGTATTGTATACAACAATTTTCCCGGTAAGCGCTTGCCCGGGTAAGAGTCGTCACCATTAATTACAGAGTAAGACTCTTCATCTTTATCATTGTTCTTATCGGGTAAATTTTTTGATTATTGTCATGTTTATCCGGTAAGGAAAATTACCCAGTAAGCACTTACCGGATAAGTGTTTATTAAACGGTCCTTAAGTTCAATATTGTTAAAACATAAAAAGGGGGGTCGAATAATAAGACAGTAGAAGAATTTGTGCAACGTGCTAGTGCTGATATTTTAACGGTTAATATATATAAATATATATATATATATATATATAATATTATAAAGCATTTGGCAAAAACTCTTAAAAACCACTTATTATGCATAAAGTACTATTTATTAATGCATATTACTTAAAACTCAAGATTGCAAGTAGATTGTGCGTAAGTACAACTTATTAAAGCTTCATATCTGAATCCGTGTAACTAACTGCAGATAAATATAATCAAATACATGATAAACATCTCATTTTAAATATAAAAAATATAAAATATAATTAGGATAATCATTGAGTTCTACCGGAATACTTAATTATTATCTTTATAAAATGTTATGTTATTAAACCAAAAATAAATTATTTCGTTATTAAACTTAAATTAAATTATAATAAAAAATAAATTTAAAAATTTACATAAAAAATGAGAACTTTTAAATAGTTGACTTTATATTAACATTGATATATATATTTCAAATTTATATTTTATTCAATCATTATTGCTTTATTAAAAATACATAAAACCGTATTATAAGATCGATAGAGACAAATAATCTATACTATCTCATTAAGCAAATTTAGCAAAAGTCTTAAAGTCTTAAAATTCTAAATTACCAAAATACCCTTTATACTCATTTTTTCACTTTTTCACCCCCTTTTCTCCTCACATATACTCACCTTCTCACAACGAGTTTTTTAAAATTATAATTTTAAATTTACACTTTATATCCCTATAATTAATTAATTAATTTACTTTATGTTCTTTACTTTTAAATGTTTCATTTTAAACTTTTATCAAATTAACATACATAATCGTATATCAATTAAAACATGTTTAAAAAATACATTTTTATTTTAACAAGTTACA